CTGCCTCCCAGGAGAGCTTGGGGAGAAGGCTGGGGGGCACTTACGAAACAGCACTGCGGGGAGACCTCCCTGCCGAGGCTGAAGCAGTGGGTGCTGGCCCCTGCGGCACTGACCCCCGAAGCCTGGCGTGAGGTCTCTTCGAGCAGGCGCTGACTCCCTTCTGCGGCTTCCCCGGCCCTGTCCTCTTTGCTGGTCTGTGTCTCGTCCGCCCATCGTCCTGGCCCTTCTCACACCCAGTGGATGGTAGAAGGCAGGAAAAACCGTGAAAGCCCGTTGAGCTTGCTGCTTGTTGGTAGAAAAATGGTGCTTCGGGGAAGAAACGAAAACCCAGGCTCCGGAGAGGTCTTCAAATGACACGAGTTTTCATTTCCTGTGCTCTTTTACTGATCCTGAGTCGTTTTGGAGATCGTCCATGAGGCTGGTTTAGGGGTCGTTATGACCCCTAAGCTCAGGGAGGCCAGGGCTTGGCACAGGGATTTTCCAAGACCCCCAGGAGGGGGCGTGATTTCTTTCTAAGGCTGCCTCAAGGCACCAGATTTGGAAACGGTGGGGGGGCCCTGGCCTCTGTTAAGCCCGTGCGACCGTGCTCAGCCCCCACTCAGGGCTTTGCGAAAGTGTCCAGCCACCGCCTGGCATTCCCTCGCTTGGGACGAAGGAACCAACAACTGCTCAACTGAATCACATTGAGCTCCGTCTGCACAAAAGCAGGAGGGACTATTTTGGTAGCTACTGGCCGGTGTGTATCTTCATCCCACAGACTGTTCTTCTGTAATGGGGAGTGTTAAGAACACACAGTCCAGCCCCATTTGCACAGAATCCTCTTGTGCCCTGGCCTGGGCCACGGCCGGGTGGGGAGGCAAGAAATGCCTGCTTCTCTTCCCTTCTCTGGTGGAGCAGACTCTCTCTGGTCTTTTTCCTTGCGCTACCAAAAGCAGCATTTGTCCAGGGAAGGCGGAAGGAGAAGTAGTAACGGTAACTTAAAAAAAAAATTTTTTTTAATTTTTATTTATTTTTGAGAGAGAGAGAGAGAGCATGAGCGAGGGAGGGGCAGAGAGAAAGAGACGCACGGAATCTGAAGCAGTCCAGGCTATCAGCACAGAGCCCGATGCGGGGCTCGAACTCACAAACCGCGAGATCGTGACCTGAGCCGAAGTCAGATGCTTAACCGACTGAGCCACCCTGGTGCCCCAATGGCAGTGACTTCTGATAGGAATAGTGTATCATTCCTTCCCTTTCTGTTTTTTCTTTTTTTTTTTCTTTTTTATTGATAGAATTTGTGCACCGTGGAAAGCCCGGATGCAACCTAGTATATTGTAGTGTGGTGTGAGGGGAGGTGCCCTTTACATACATAATCCGCTAAGTGGACGTCCCGTTGCAGAATTGAAGGGATCCTGTGCAGGTCTCCTTCACTAGTGTTTCTCTGGATACCGTTTCAAACGATTAAAATGAATCAGTTAAGACACATTTGTAAGTGTGTGTGCGTGGGTGTGTATATAAACGTATAAATGTATCTGTATACATATCAAGTTGTGTGGTGAGACCCACTTTAACATGTAAGACTATTTGTCTAAATTAGTAAATCCATTCTGCCCTTCGCCTGGAAGTTGACATTCTGATTCCTAGGGCTTTTCTCACCAACCTTGAACCCCAACTCTTGGTTGGGGGGTGTTGAGGGACTCCTGCAGGTAGCTCTGGAGACGGCCGGTGCTCGGCCAGGCTGGGGTGCGAGGGTGTTGGGGTGGAGGTGACTGACGTTGACCCCCCGGCCCTCCAGCGGAAGGCCCTGGCCACAAGCACAGCGCGTTGGGGGGCTGAAATGACACTTCCACCAGGGCCTGAAGTGGAGGGTGCTGACACCCAAGTCTCCTGGCTCCCCCATCCGGGAGTTTAGGTGACCGATGTGTCCCTGGAAACCCACCCCTCTGGGTGTTGCTTTGGCTTCTCCCCACCCCAGGCAACTCTGGTGTCTGTAACGGGGTGAGGGAAGCCTCCTTCTGACCATTTCACTTTCTGTCCTCTGTCCTTCCAGCAACCTGGCAAGCAATCGCATTGGCAGCCTGGAGTCGGGAGCATTTGATGGCCTGTCCCGGTCGCTGGTAATGCTTCGCTTGAGCAAAAACAGGATCACCCAGCTTCCTGTGAAAGCATTCAAGTTACCCAGGCTGACGCAACTGTGAGTATAGAAACCTGCACTTTAATTAAGGTTAGCCAAACTCTGTGGAGGCCAGCGTTCCCCACGGACCTCATTTCAAATGCGACCCCTTCCTCACTCCCCGTCAGGCTTTACATACGCCGTCATTAATGGCCTTGTGGCGACACCTAATAAAAGCAAATTAGAAGCCGGGTCTGGTGCCTGTGGGCTGCCTCAGGTTGCTGAGAAAAAGATCCACTGAGGATATATATGCTTGTCCTCATTGGCACTTTGCAAAATGAAATGAGGAGTCCTGCTGGTGAGCTGATCCTGGCTAATGCTTAGGCTGTGTGGCTTGGGTTATTTATCTTGGGGTTTTCTGTGTTGGTTTTTTTTAAAGTACCCATAAAATCTGTACCGTGGTGGCTCAGTCGGTTGAGTGTCTGACTCCTGATTTCAGATCAGGTCATGATCTCACGGTCTTGGGATCGAGCCCCGCACTGGGTTTCACACTGACTGTGGGGTCTACTTGGGATTCACTCTCTCTCCCCTTCTGTCCCTCTTCCTCGCTTGCACATGTGCGCTCTCTCTCAAATTAAAAAATCTGTACCGTGGACGTTACGGTGTCCCACACTTTTTGAGCAGTCTCAGAGGAAGTTAGTGTAGACTGAGATGGACCATCTCCATCTGCTACATCTTATGAGGTAGTTGATTTTTTTTTTTT